GATTTTATGTTATTGATGCATGTTTATGTGTATTGATGCTATAGATTTAGAGATTGTCAAAACATAGTGCTTAATGGAATGCTCTTGTGATTTTCTTGATGGTTTATACTTATTCCTTGATGGATTGTGCCTCTCCCTTAGTTTATTTTCATGCTAGTAGTGTAGTTGTAGTGTAGTGTTAAATGGGAAGACAATCCATGCTTGTTGTTTGATGATCCATGCTTTTGAATGCAAGTAGCATATGTCTCTAACCTTGTGTTGTATTTGGATTGTGAGCTTAATGAAAGGATTAATGAGATACCCCTCGGATCCGAGACACGGGTTGATCAGGCCCAGGCCCAAACCCGAGGGAATATCAAACAATTAATATTTTATAATGAACAATGAATACAAAATAAATTAAGAAATGAAATTAAAGCTGGAAGGAACTAAAAATAGAATCCGCAAAATATTATAATTATTAAAATCCATCAAACCCAAACTCCAAAACTCCATCAGTTTACAATTTGGGAATCCATCTCTAGTGGACCCCTATTAAACATCCAAACGGAAGATAGAACAACTGTAATAAACGTCCAGAAATAAAACTATAGAGAGAGCCCTACATCGTCGGAAGAGTGAATAGAGACCTCTACTCAGCACGAACACGTCTAAGCCTGGAACTGTCGTGTACCTGAAAAATAGAAGTGGGTCAGGCCCACGCGCAAGTTCTATACCATTACAATCCAAACAGAGGCCCGATACGCATGTATATCATAAACAATTCAACATTAGCTAATAGTCCGTAAATATATATATATAGTCACACTAAAGGACTCTCACTGGACTACAAGCCGGTCTCAACCTGAATAGAGGTAATATGCTAAAATGCACACGAAGTGGGCATATGTACCTATACCTAAACAGGGTACACCTCCAACCATCGTAGCCAGCTACACATCCCGATGCATATACGCTCCCTAGCCATCGGTCCTGAGGCACAAGCTCATACCGAGGCACCATAACAGTATATATATAAAATCCATCCAAAATCCCTGGTATTGCCACTCAACAAGTAGTTGACATGACAATATAAATCCACGGGACTTAACTTTTAGTTAATCCCATCCTTATTCCAAGTAGGTGGGTAATGGTATTGTTTTAAAAACCAAACCCATCCTTAGTATGCCACCATCCCATACCGGTGCCTACTTCCCAATCCTCCAGTAGTCAATAATACCAATAAATCAAGTATATATCAACTAAATTCCAACATCCAACATTCAATGTTAGCAGTGATAAAATAAGCATTGATAAACAGGGTCACAACAACAACATATACATGCCCAATTTAAGTTGTTCCATTTAGTCTGATATAAAGACAGAATTAATTAAAACTTCCATTTAACACCTTACAAATGACATACAGATATGTAGGGTATGTATCACAAAATCCTAACCTCCACAGTTGATACTAATTGTGATAATGTAAGCATCAAAACAATATTCACAGTATGTATGTAGACATGCTCAAATTATAGTGTTCCACAAAACCGATCTAGTGTTAAACTCAAATCCTCCTAGTATTTAAGTTCCAACAGTTGCTATTACAGAACTTAAGATAGCTATTATCTAGACCCATCCTTTCAATAATTTATACTAGCAGTGGTAAGGAAAAACGTGAACCACAGAACCACAATGCATCCACAAACATGCTTAGTCTAGGTTGAACAAGCATACAACACTACTGTAACTACCAGTTTCATAGCAAAACAGATATCATTTTAGTTTGGTTTAATCTTCATTAATCCTGGAATCATTTAAGAGTGCAAAGAGTATGAAGCCTAAGAAAAAGAGTAAGGATAGAATCTTGCCTCAGAAACTTTTGTTCAAAGTTTCAACGTCGTCTTCTTAAAAAATCCCGGCAAGTTCCAAAACCTGGTTACTGTTCGCGGGTACGAAACACTATTCCCGAACTCAAAATCTGATCTTCACCATTCAGATTATGCAACACTGAGTCATGAACCTATCCTCCAAATTTCAGCTCGATCGGACCACGGACGAAGTGGGATCGAATGTTTGATGAAATCTGGGCAGAATGGAAAAAAAACTTGTGCGACCCCGTTACTGTTCATGAGTACGAATCACTGTTCCCAAGGTCAAACTCTGATCTCCACCATTCAGATTGTGCATCACTGAGTCGTGAACCTCTCCTCCAAAATTCAGCTCGATCGGACCACGGACAAAGCGGGATCGGATGTTTGATGAAATCTGGGCAGAATGGAAAAAACCTGTGCGACCCAGTTACTGTTCACGAGTACGAATCACTGTTCCCGAGGTCAAACTCTGATCTTCACCGTTCAGATTGTGCATTACTGAGTCATGAAAATTTAGCTCGATCGGACCACGGACGAAGCAGGATCGGAGCTTTGATCAAACCTTGGCAGAATGTGAAAAACTGCGTTTTTCCTTCTCCACTTCCACAAAAGTGTGCTTTGTTTAAAAAAAACCCTACACAGACGTCTACCTTATACTTATAGAGTTTTCCTAAACCCTAGGTTCATTTAAGTCCAACTCACAATCCTAACCGGCCCATCCAATTAACGTAGAAACCTACGACGGCTATAATATAAAACCCTAATTTATACTGTAATTAAAACCCTAGTTAGATGTATTTACCTAATTACCCTATTCACCATTAAATACTTAACAAATAATCTAATTGAACAAAATAATAATTAGTAAACCCAATTAAACCAAGTAAGACACACATAAAATAAGACACACATAGAATAATTAGACCAATTACACTTAAACCATTAATGCCAATTAAATAATTAAAACACTAACAAGTAATTCCAATCAAATAACTAAACCAATTACACTTAAACCATTAATGCCAATTAAATAATTAAAACACTAACAAGTAATTCCAATCAAATAACTAAAAATAAATATCATTTAAATAAATTAAATCACCACAAAAGAAAACAATTAAGCACCTAATAAAAAAAATAATGACACATAATCAAATGAAATGCACTTAAATAATAAATTAAATACCATTAAGTACCAGGAATATCCTTTTTAAAATTAGGGGTATTACAATTAATGACTTGTTTTGATCTATTGTGCCTTTCATATGTTATTTAGACAATATATACTTCATTGCTTAGATATATTGTGCCTTTCACATGATGTTTAGACAATACATGCTTAACTAGTCATCCTTGCTTGTTGAATCAACCAAACACACACACACACCAATATTGAAACACACCATTTGCCCTCATTAGTCACTTGTCAATGGTATAGAAATGCATTGCTTGGTGGTGATCTTCAAACCCCAAGACTCTTCTCTCTCTTATTTGCTCTTAGTTGCATTCTTTTGTTATCACTTAGTTTAATTTAGTTGCTCTCTAGTTTAATCAACTAACCAACTATTTGTTTGATCACTCGACCTACTAACCCTAATAGTGATTTCACAACCAAGTACGACTCCAATCCCTTGGGACGATCCCTACTCACCCTAACTATATTCTTAGTGAAGGTAGTAGTGGCTTCTATAAATGTAAAACTTGGTCCTTGCCTTAATGCACACTCTTTAAGCTTGTGGTGCGGCAACACCACCAACCCTTATAGGAAAGGTAGTTAGAATGACGATATGATAAGATTTAAAATAATGCCTGAGTTTCCTTTTCGCATTCAACAGTGATAGGATCACTCGTTCGGCCTTTGAATACCTTCTTTCCAGCTCAGCCATTGTTTTGCTAACATAGAACACTGGGAACTGCTTACCTTCTTCGCACCGCACCAGAACAGCACTTGTTGCAATGCTGGACACGCCAAGGTACATGAAAAGCTTTTCACCTTGTTTTGGGGTAGATAAGACTAGAGGCTTCCGCATATACTCTTTCAAACTACTCAGTGCCTATCATTGCTCATCCCCCTAGGCTTGCCTTCCGTGGCCTCTTATTGTATCGAAGAACGGTTTGTAGCGATCTGACAGCTTAAAAATGAATCGACTCAATGCCGCTATTCGTCCGGTTAGTACTTGCACCTCCTTTACTGTTCTTGGTTCTGCATTTTTTATTAAAGCTTTTGCTTGGGCTGGGCTAACTTCAATCCCTCTATTATTGATCACGTGTTTAAGGAACTGCCCAAAACCCACACCAAATGAGCATTTGGTTGGATTTAGCTTCATACCGTACTTCTTTAATACCCAGAACATATCTTGCTAGTGTTTTAAATGATAGTCCTTCTTTTTACTCTTCACCACCATGTCATCAATATAAGCTTCTAGAGTCTTACCCATTTGACTTTTGAAAATTTTGTTGACTAGCCTTTGGTAAGTGGCTCTAGTGTTTTTTAATCCGAACGGCATGACTCTGTAACAGTAGATCCCTCATTCGGTGACAAAGGAAGTTTTCTCCTCATCGTTTGGATCTATAGGGATTTGATTGTAGCCTGAGTAAGCATCTAGAAAAGTTAAGCATTAGTATCTAGTAGTGGCATCCACCATTTGATCAATCTTCGGTAACAGAAAACTATCTTTCAGACAAGCTTTTGTTCAGATTGGTGAATTCAATACAAACTCTCCATTTCCCATTCTTCTTCTATACTACAACCACATTTGAGAGCCAAAACGGGTACTGAACTTCTCTAATGAATCCTGCCTCCAGCAATCTGTCAATTTCATCAAATATGATTTGATTGCGCTCTGGGGCGTACTTCCTCTGCTTCTATCTTATAGGCTTGGCGTTTGGATCTACATTGAGGGAATGGCAAGATACAGAGGGATTGATTCTAGGCATATCTAAATGGCTCCAGGCAAACACATCTGCATTCTGAGACAGGAAATCAACTAACTGCTGTTTCTCCTCCTTTGCAAGCCCTGACCCTACCTTTGTGGTTCTGTCTGGCCTATGAGGATCTATCTACACATCAATGAGGGGCTCTTCGGTAAGAACCAAAGGCTCTTCCTCCTCCCTAGTCTCTTTGGGTAGAGGCCCCAGTAATTGCTATCTTGGGCTATCAGATCGGGTTGGAGCTTTTCCCTTCCCAGCAGCTTTCAGCGTTACAGAGTAACACTCATTGGCTGAGACCTGGTCCCCATGGATATCAATCACCTTGCTCCCATCCGAACTCAAGCATCTCATCACCTGGTGCAGAGTCGACGGGACACCCTGGACCTTGTGAATCCACCCTGTTCCCATCAGAAGATTGTAAGACGGATGGATCTCGATAACCACAAAGCTTTCAATCAGATCTCTTTCAGCGTCTCATACTGGCAATTCTACCATACCAATAGGTTCCACTTGCTTCCCATTGAATCCTAACAAGGGATTTCCAATGGGTTTGAGCTTTTCTGGCTTGATCTCGAGCCGGTCAAACGTTATTCTTGGCATGACATTCGCGTTGCTCCCTAGATCGATTAAAACTCTTCGCACCAAGCATTCTGCCACTGTCAAGCTAATGACTAGAGGATCTTCATGAGGGATTTGAACTCGCAGCAAATCCGTTCTGTCAAACTTTATCTGAACTGATGTGCTCTGCTGGTGCAGAGCATTTACACTACCTATCCTCCTCTTCATTTGTGTTTGACGGAGCCGCATTCGGAGCAGTTCTTCTGACTCCTCGGTCGGCTCAAGTCAGCCATGAATTGCATTTATAATCCAAACAGGTTGAGCGTTATGGTAGTTTGGCTTCTGATTTCTTTTCACTTGCTCAGTCAGTCGGTTCTGCTCTACTGCCGGCCCTTGAATGTATCCTGCATACTCTCCCTTTGCTATTAACATCTCCACTTGCCTCCTTAAGTTCCTGCATTCATTAGTCTGATGACCAAAATTACTATGGAAAGCACAATGTTTAGATTGATCTCTCTGTTCGAGTGGTTGTCTGATTGATAGGGGAAAGCGAAACTTATCTTTATTTTCTTGATACAACCTCGCTAAGGTGACTTTGAGTGGAGTGACCGACTCCTCCTCTCTAGGCCTCTTTTCTACTCTCTAGGAAGTCTGACGCTATGGTGGAGCTTATTCTTGTCGGATCTTTACTATGGTCTTCTCCTCCATCGTGACCACGGACGTCTTCCTTGCGTTGGCAGCTTATTCTTCTTCCAAGCATACAAAACCATCAGCTCTTTCATTTAGCTCGTCCATGGTTCTTGGCGTATTCACCACTAGACTTGTGTGGAATGGTGTCCCTCGGTTCACTGGTAGTTTGAATGCTTGAACCGCTATGGATGGATGGCATTCTATTACCATGCTCTTGATGAGGTTGAACTTGGTGAGGAAAGCTTAGAGACGTTCATCTTTATGTTGTTTTATTGTGAACAAACTTGAAATATCTTTGGCCAGACGCTTGTTCCCGTAATACTGGCTTATGAATTTGTCATGCAGGTCCCAGAAGCTATCCACTGAGCCTCTTGCCAAGTTCTTGAATCAATTGAGCGCCAGTCCAGTCAAGCTTGTAGGAAAGCACTTGCACATTAAAGGATCATTCTCCGTGTTCAGAGCCATTTTCAATTGAATATGGTAAACGTGATCGATCGGATCTCTCGTTCCGTTGAACAGAATGAAAACCAGTATGGAAAACTTTCTCGAATTCGGAGCATTCAGGATCTTATCTGTAAACGGTGAATCAACTGTTCGTGCTGCTGAACGGAGGGCTTCATTTTCCCTCCGAAAACCTTGGGAGTATCTTTTGATCAGTAGACCTCCTGTCCGAACTTTTATAGTCATACGTGGCCATTGACAGTCGGTAAGGAAGATCAAATGACCTTTCCTCTATCAACTCCTTCTGCCACGACGGTGTGGCCTTATTGCGACCGAACTCCACGACTTTTTCTCATCTAAGCTTCTCACGGTGTGGATCAATCTCCATGAACTCTTCTCTTCTAATCCATTCGCGATGTGGATCCAAATGGATAGATCCTTCCCAATCTTCTACATAATGAACATTTGGCGGAATATCGTCGTGCCTGATCTCTTCGCGACAGAAATCCAGGTGAACGTTCCTTTCCTGTTCAACTTGGTAAGCAACATTCGTTTACACAACTCTTTCGCCTACCAGAGGCGGTCATGGAATAATCGAAACTTCTCGACACTCTATTCCAGCTCTCAATTCCGCATTCTCTCTTCTTAGAGCTTCAATCATGCTCATGAATTCGTCGAGCTTCGTTTGCTCGTCATTCTCCTGTGGATTAGAACTCTCACCTCTTATCATCGTTCCTGATCGGAGCAGAGTCATCAACCGTGAATTCCTAATCAAACCTGAACTCTACTAATGCGAATGCACTAGATCTGGTCTCGAACTGGCTGAATTCCGATCTCCTTCGCTTGGATCTGAATCTTTCCTACCGTGAACTCATCAGATCTGGCTCCGTAAAATAGATTGTGATTGTGCAAATCCGACTCTAATTTCCAAAGATCAATTTGAACTAAGCCTCTGCAAGACAGATCATAATCTCGCCGATCTGAATCCAACTTCCAGAGATCAAGCTTTTTCTTCACGAATCAATCTCGATCGTTTACCACAGACAGCGCCATTGAAGATGCAAGAAATATCATCTCTTAATTTGGACAGAATAATTTTACACTTCAAGAAAATTTCCAACTCCTTTTCCAGTCTACTTATAGACCTTTACCAACATTCTAGAAGCTTCCTAACTCTTCACGCTGGGCTGATTCTTTGGGCTCATTTTGCATATGGGCCCATTTCTTTTGCTCTGAGATCGGGCTTCCAGACTGATCCTCCAATTTTGGGCCTAACAAGTGATGATTTGATTGAACTAAGTCTTCTTTCCATACCTGTTTCTAGTAACATAGGTCGTGCTCGACCCAAGTCATTTTTGGTTTTCTAAGTACTGCATTGCCGGAAAACCCGAGTCACAACCACGCCTAAATCAGCTCCAACTCGGTCCTCGTCACCTTACTACTATTACACCGAGCTCGCCGAACTCGTCGAGAAGGCTCGCTTGTTACAGACACTAAAGGAATCATTGAGTTGACACAACATCACCATCTTCACGCCAAATAATGAAGCACTCGAACGCGACCTTGACCTCGAGTTCAAGCGGTTCCTCCTAGATCCTGCCAATCTCAGGTCCCTCTAGACTAGACCGGTCAATGGAGCGGATCCTAATCTGAATCCGATCCGATTAGTCAAATATGAATTGAACAAAAAAATTGGATAATCGAATTATGATCTGAATCCGATAATCCGTTAACTTAACAAATCGGATATGGATTATGCTAATCCAATCTGTTAATAATCCGATCTGATCCGATCTGATTAAAATTATATATATAAATAATTATATATATAATTATTTATTAATAATTTTACATACATATATATATACATATATCAATACTCCTATTAAAATTGTATTAGAGGTAACCCAAAAATCAAAAAAAAAAAAAAAAAAATCATAATGCTATATATACAATAGTGTGGTGTTCTCATCCACATGCTAATAAATCTCTTAATATACATACTAATAATATCATACTCTTTATTTATTAACAAAGAGTAAATAATTTACAATATGCTATATATCAATGTTACATATATTAGTTATATATTACTAAATTTATATATATTAATTATTTATCATTATATTCATTTTAGTTGCATAGTTATATTATGTAGCATTCAGTATATTAGAAATTCTCCGCTTCATCTAACTTTAAAATTATATATGTTAGTAAATATGATTTTAATCCGAATTCGAATCCGATTCGATCCGCGTCCGAACTAAATAGGATATGGATTGGGACTTTCAGCCTGAGAACCCGTTAGTGATCCGAATCCGATAATCTGTTTGCTTAACAAATCGAATATGGATTTAATCGATCTGATCTGTTGACAAGCTTACTCCAGACCCTCTTGCTCCACCACATCGTCCCTAAAATGATTCATTCAATCAAATAGGTCGACTCATTTTTTGAGCTAACTCAGCACTTCATGCTCGCTCACCAGACTGTCGGACTCGGTGGCGTAGCCACAAAGGAACAAGTTGGGGCAACTGCCTCCACTGAACTTTTAATTTTTTTTAATTTTATATGGAAAGATTTTTATATTTGTATTGTTGCCCCCTCTAAAATTTGACAGTTCACACATAATATACTATATGTATATATAACCAAAAGCCCATTCACGAGAGGAATATAATCGTGACACAATTGTAAATATATATAATATATCTATCAATTTATACTTTCCAAAAAAATATGATATTTTTTCCACCCAAAATATTATATTCTTTAACACTTTCCAAAAAAAAAAAAAAATCATCAAGATATTCTACCACACTTTTTGACTTTACCATAAACAAATGGATTATTTCCATCACATCTTCATCTTCCTCTTCAACATTTTTCACAATCCAAATAAAGCAAGCGGAGCAACCATTTACCAGTAGACAGAGACTAAGTCAATAGTAAGCAGACAGGAAATTTGATATTTTTTTATCATCTAAATTTATTATTATTTGATATTATAATTTTAATTACAAAATTTATTAGTTATTATTATCAAAATTATTTTAGGGCTTGTTGTCCTTTTAAATTTTAGTTTATGTTTTTATTTTTTTTCACATATGTGATATATTAGAACAGTTAGGTAATTGTATTATTTTCTTTTTCATATCTTATTCTTGATTCATTGAATATGATTTTTTTTTAGTACATTTAATTGAATGAACTCAATTTTGAAACAATAGTGAATAATTTGAAAATTTGTTGTGAATGTATTAAATAGAAATATTATGAATTAATGATTTAATTTTTACATATATTGTTTTGGTTCAAATAATATATATATATATATATATATATTATTGCTATTAAAGATTACCCCCAAAAGAAGAAAATTTCTGGCTACGCCACTGGTCGGACTCAATGAAGATTCGAAGCACAAGTTAGTCGGTACTACGAGGGTGGTCATCCCGACGATGTGGTCCATCCAGATGGAATAATTCACGGAATCAAATGGCTATTAATACCCAAATCAGTACAAGATAGTTTCAACTAGAGATGGAGTTTGTGATTGATCTCCGTTGTTAAACCGGAGGTAACGCTGCAAGTTGATCCGAGGATGAACCGGCTGAAAAAACCTACACCACCGGTAGGAGATCGATCAAAAACTCATTTTACAAGAATGTTACTTTAGACGTAGATGGTAGGAGATATCTAACTCCAATCTAGAAATTCACCAGTAGTCTAGTAAGAAAGAGAAAGGTAAGAAACAGAGAGGTCAACATAGACAGTTGACTGACGTGATAAGAAATTTGGGTTAATTCCACCTACACCTCCTAACGTTTGCCTATATTCCACACACACCTCTCTACGTTTCATAATTCCACCTACACCCCCTACCAGTAACCACCATCTAGTTTACCAATGGAAATATGTGATTTTACTATTTTACTAAAATTCATAACTAAAAAGAAAAGACTTTAACACCCTCTGTTTAACACCATTAAATTTCTCTCTCTACTCACACACACACACACACATATATATATACAAGCACTATATATATATATATATATATATATATATAGTGCTTGTATATATATATGTATATC